TTTATGTTTATACATTCTTTTGATAGATACAAATATTTAAGTAAATGCTTTGTTTGTATCTATAAAAACAATGTATAAACATAAAGATGTTTTAAAATAATTGTCGGACTTTGTCCATTTCATAATTCTCTCTCTCTCTCTAATCTATATATATATATATATATATATATATATATATATATATATATATATATATATACCAATATATATGAGGTTTTTAAATCGAAGTATACTTACTTATGTTTATAAGATTATATATATATATATATATATATATATAAATATATATATATATATATACTGATTTCATTGAATACGACAGACCAGATGCTTTATTTAGTATTTTATACAATTTCTCATGCGATTTAATTTTTTTTTTTTTTGTTTTCGGATTATAAATTATATAAAAACTGTCCGAATGTTCTTTTTATACAAGCGTTTTCGGCTATACATTTAGCCATTTTCAAGGATTAAATATTTTAACTGTTAAATAAGAAATAGTTTGTTGTATGTACGTTTTATAACGAATTAAACAATGTAAAGCAAACGCTGGTTAATAACGGATTTCCTAATCAATTGTTGGATTTCCACATTAGGTGTTTTCTGTCTAAAGTAACAAATAGCAACGGCGAGAATAGAAACATAATAATATTAATATTTTTTTATAAAAATCAGATGAACGAAAATTATAAACAGGATGAAAGTAGAATTAAGAACATTATAAAAAAATGCATAACACCTGTTGGCAATAGCAATAAAATTACATTATTTATTTATTACAAAAAATTAAAAACCTCTAACCTTATATTTAAAAAATAGTTACCAGAGCTCATATTGCAATTTTTTTTTGTTATTATCGACTTTCACTAGCACTCCTTATCACTGGTTCCCATATTGTATTCATTTCTATGCTTGGTCGGCTCAGGAGATTTTTGTGGCCTAGCATATGTGCTGATTCCTTCCCAATGGTGTTCTTTGTCTATGATCTCAACCTGATCCCACAGAGGGCAGTGATCTCCCTTCTCTCTCCATATATGGTCAGCCATGCCTGATTTTTCCAATTTCCCTCGTGTTACAGCTTTCTGGTGTTCTTGAAGCCTTACCTTAAGTGGGTAGCCTATCTCCCCTTTATCATTCCGCAACTCCACCGGATAGCGTACATATATATATATATATATATATATATATATATATATATATACTACAGTTCAAAATTTTGAAACCACCCCCAGAATTAGCACGGGAAGTTTAGCAACGTGGATCCTGGATAGTACCTAGATGGGTGACCGCTTGGGTGTATCCGGCATGGTATCCGGCATGGTATCCGGCATGATAAACCGAGTGCCAATTCCAGTCGGGTACGTTACATTCATTTACACGCAAGCAAATACACTTGGGAAAGGTATGAATCTGCCTCTTCTCTCCCCACCTATGGGTTAATTAGTAAGATGTGACGCTAAAGCATTATCTCCAAAATTAAAATCTGCAACGTTTACGGGAAGCAAACCGTAATATATATATATATATATATATATATATATATATATATGTATGTATGTATGTATGTATGTATATATTTAAATAAATGCTCTGTTTATATACTGTTTATTATACACAGAGCATTTACTTAAATATTTGTATCTATAAAAAGAATTTATAAACAAAAAAAGGTCTTAAAATAATTGTCGGACTTTGTCCATTTCATAATGTGTGACGTCATTTGTTTACATTTGTATACGCATTGAGCAGATATGAATGTACGTCAGAGATTCTTGGAAGATTGAAGTTTAAAAACAGTAAAATCGACCTTGCTAACCGAACGTCCCTCTGTGGCCCAATCGGTTAAGACACGTCAGGCTATATGACGGTTCCGTATAGGATACAGGTTCGATTCCTGTCGGAGGACGAATATTTTCTATGAATATTCTCGGATATTCAGGCCGATAAATGTTATTAATACTGTTTAATATAAAACAGAGCATTTACTTAAATATCTGTATCTATAAAAAGAATGTATAAACATAAAGAGTCTTAAAATAATTGTCAGACTTTGTCCATTTCATAATATATATATATATATATATATATATTATTAAGTTATGAAGAACTTGGTAATCCGTATGCGTAATCCCTAGGAGGATGAAATCCTGAGAGCTCAATGTAAAAACAGAGCTAATATTTAAAAGAAAAACAGACCACTTTAAGATACCATTACAATAATTTATTTTAATTTTTTTATATATATATATATATATATATATATATATATATATATATATATATATATATATATGCACAGAGTGTATCAGAAATACATTCATAAAATTTGGGGAGCGGTTTCCTGACACACAAAAAAAAAAACGTAAGTTCATATAAGCATAGATCAGGAAATACTTCAGTTACAGCTAGTGTGTTTTGAACGTTTATCGTGTGTAGTAGCGATTTAACTGCGAAGTGTTCCGTTTAGATTTTTACATACGGCCGCCCGAATGGTAATGGACGCGAGGCTGCACGGTTGTTATCCGATTGTGTCTCCAGCCGAGTCATCCAAACTTTGCTGCTGTTTTGTTGCTGAGAGTGGATCCGTGGCACCACAAACTTTGGCAATAAGTAATTGAGGATTGTACATTTAACAGCGTTTACTATAAACTTTAAATTTAATAACTCAAAAAACGAAGTTTATGCGGACTTTTGCCTTTGTTTAGTTTGAGGAACCCGCTTATAAGGTTTGTAAAAGTATTTTTTATACACACTGTATACTGAAAGAAAGAAAGAAAGAAAGAAAGAAAGAGAGAGAGAGAGAGAGAGAGAATCATGCGAGCCTGGATAATTTCTTACTTTTTATGTGCCGTGTCCCTTGAGGACGTAGGCGGTCATGTCTCTCCACTTCTCCCTATCCCTTGTAGCTCTCCACAAGTTTTATCCCTTTGCCACTTCCCCCAGGCCATGTTAAGGATGAAGAAAAAGAAAAGAAAAGGAATTAAGAAGACAGAATGATTACAAAGGATTTACGCCTGTTGACCGTTGTTTATGCCGTATCCCTTCAGGACGTAGGTGATCATGGCTCTCCACTTCCTCCTATCCCTTGTAGCTTTAAATAAGTTTTGTCCCATTTGCTGCTTCCCCCAAGCCATTTTCTGTCATCTACTTGCTTAAGCCCGCCAGGTATGTCACGCGTTGCTTTCCCTTGTCTCTCTTTCTCTCTATCCGCCCCGTGAGTATCAAATTCTCCAAGCTCTCCTTTCTCATTACGTATCCCAGAAATTTCAGCTGCCTATTCTTGATGTTAAGTATGTTTAATCCTTCTTTGCATCCTCTCTAAGACCTCATCGTTGCTCACACGCTCGGTCCATGATATCCTTAGCATCCTTCTGTAGAACCATACCATCGTTGATTCGAAAGACACAAAAGATTTTCTAAACGGCAAACAAAGAAATTAATGATCATTCCAGCTTTGAATATTAATGGTCTGGACCTGAAGAATTCTTCAAAACTGAAGCATTTTTCAAAACAATGAAATGTGACAAGTCTATCGAAATTGTTTTCATTTTTGTTTTTGTTTTTTTTATCAAAGAATTCTGAGAGCTCTTCATGTGAAGCATACTCGAAGACAAGATGAAGATCTTTGTGAAAATAATAGAATAGAGGAAGAAGGAATCGACACGCATTTTTTTTATCGATCTCTTCTCTCCTTCCCCTATCTATGGGTTAAATATTAACTGGGAACTCTTTAGTTTTGGCTGGCAACTAGTCTAGAAGAATGACAACTCTGAATACAAAACCTGGCGAGGACTGTTTGGTGGGGGTGGGCTCCGGGTACCCTACGCACGCCTTTTCTGAGACAGAATGGCATTACAAATTGTGGTAAGACGTATTTTTCGATTGTATTTTGGATTGTACATTTAACAGCGTCTACCGTTAATCTTTAATCTTAATTACTCAAAAACGAAGGATTGTTAAAACAAATTAAAAGTAAAAAGGGAATTTTTATAGTTAGGTATATGAAAATGTTGTATTTCCCTTTTTCAAATATTTGTTTCATTAAAGTATTTTGGTATGTAATGAAACTATAGAATTATCAATTATTCCACTTCATTGGTTACATTTTCTCTGTCTTAGCCAATGAAATCAATCTTTACGATTTCTGTATTTTCCATATTAATCAAATGGACTTAGCTTACAATCATAACGTCCTTTACAAAAATAATATATATATATATATATATATATATATATATATATATATATATATATATATATATATAGAAAAGAGAGACAGAGAGAGACAGAGTATCAAAAATACTTTTACAAACTTTGATTGTTGGTTTCTCACACTAAAACAAAGACAGAAGTCCATATAAACTTATGTCCGCAAATCCTTCGTTTGTGAGTTTAAAGAAAGTTTACTGTCGATGGTGTTGTGTTATTATGTAGACTAGGTTTTTTTTTTTTGTCATTCGTGTACATTTGTAGCTAGTCTGTCATCAGCATTTAACGTAATTTAGATAGATATGATTTTTAAATACGACCGCGCGAATGGTGATGGACGCGAGGCTGCACGACTGTATAAGATTACCTTTCCGGACTTAAGTCAGCAGAGTCATGAAATCTTTGCTGCTGTTTCTCATGGCGTTACTGAGACAGGATCCGTGGCAAAGTTTCTAAAAGTATTTTTGGGTGGTACATTTAACAGCGTCTACCGTAAACTTTAAACTTAATTACTCAAAAACGAAGGGTTTTCGAACATATGTGTATATGGACTTTTGTCCTTGTTTAGCGTGAGGAACCTGTCCCCAATGTTTGTAAACGTATTTTTGATACACGCTGTATATTTGAAAATACTTTGCCGACCATTTATTCACCTATTCCCACCGACTAGCAATATAGAAGCCATAAATTTACACGACAACTCTTTTTACGTCTGCCTGGTTGTAAATGCCACATTTGTCTCTCACTCTTGCTCTTCATTCTCTCTCCCTTGTCTTCTTCTTGGGTAACAGGCGTCTGCGAAAGATATCTGCCGACTTCTTTTCAAAACAACGACCACCCCCAACTAAATCTTACCCAGGTGCTTCCGGTAGAGAGACTGAAAACATAGAACGCTGACCTTTGCTGACCTCGTTACTTCAATGCAAACGCGCATGCGTTTGTCTCAAATTCTCGGAGCGTTTGGAACTTCATCTGCGATTCTGTTTAACGTCACGTTTCAGAAAATGTCATTCTTGAATGAATTTCAGTCGATTCAACAAGCGAGAAGCGGAAGAGGAGGAATAAAGGAATGATGTTTATGTGTCTGGTCGGGGAGTGCAGGATTATTTATATACATCTCCTGGAGACAATGGCAACCAAAGGGACCTTTACATTTAACAGACGTACTTCCACTTTTTCGCGGGAAAACAACAGAGAATAATGAAAAAAAGTCACAAACTTAATAAAAACTAAGTTTTATCGTCCAAATGTTTATATTATTATTAAGATGAAAGACCAAAGTAATTTTTGACTATTTTTTTTTTTTTTAATATTTTTAATCCTTTCTAGCACGTTCGAAATTTTCATTCGAAATCTTTTGTTTACGACATCCGACCCGGGTAATAATTACAAAAAAAAAAAAATTACTTTTTTGCCGCTTTTTTTTCCGGTGAAATCATTAATTTGGAAATTCTTGCAGAAATCAAATAAATGTCGAATTTATTGAAACTTTCAGGACTTATTCACAAATGAATTAAATCATTTTTAAATTGTTCTGTTTTAGAAAATTTAGCTATTTTTTTTAATAATGTTAACACACACACACTTAATTTTTTTCATGAAATTTCGCAAAATACCTTTCTAGTTCCTGAATTTGTTTTATTAGTCAAAGTAGGACTCCCTGGAGAATGTAAACCAACTAAAATTTTTTTTTCGTACTTTTACTATTCTAACTGAAAATCTGCTCTGAATAATATAATAAAAAAATTAAACCAAATTATGAAATAATCGAATCAGAAAAGCTTTTAATTGCTTTTGTAAATAAGTTATTTAAAGTGCATCATTGTCTGAAGAAATAAAGTTTTTTTTCGATGAATAATGAATTTTTACAAGAATTTTTTTTTTCATTTTTTTAAAAATTTTTAATTATAATAATTTAAAAATCGTTTAAAATTTCTGTATTGAGCTATTTCCTGGATGTGATATTGAAATTAATTAGAAACGAAATTTACGAATCCAAAATTAAAAAAAAATTAATAAATATCGTTTTACTATTCTGTCTTTAAAATAATTTTTTTTCACTTTAATTGCTCCCTTTTTCATCTATGAAACATGTCATTATTATGAAAAGGTCACTTGCTTGAATTGAAAAATAGAAAAATGTTTTTTTAGCTAATGTTAATTAAAATGTATTAACTATCAATAACAATATTTTAATTTTTATAAAAAAAAATTTGCAGATCAATGTGTTAATTTTCTTGCTTACTTAACATTATTTTAATCTCATCTGTTATTAAATTTGGAAATTGATTTAAGAAAATTTTGTACTACTTTAATTTATTTTTAATTTTTCATAAAGCATCATCAAACATAACTAAAAGTCAATAAAATATTAAATAATAGCTGACAATATTTTATTTTTGAAAAATTCCTAGGTAGTTAAAAATGGAAAAAATGCGTTCTTTTAGATTTCGTAAATTTATGTCAATTCTGGTCATCCATACTAGATGTCATCACCTCAAAACTTATCTATACGCCAAAAAACATCAACGAAAATCAGAACCCATTGTTAAAAAATGGTTGTATATTACTTTTTATGCTGTAAGTAATATTTATTTCAAATCAGATTAATTTAATATCTGTCTATATTTCTGAGATGAGGTATTATCAACACTATTTACATTATCGGACTATTGTCCTCATCTTTGTTGCCATATTTATCACAACGTTTTGGCCTTTCAGTATCTGTCTATATTTCTGAGATGAGGTATTATGTACACTATTTACATTATTCGGATTATTGCCCTCATCTTTGTCGCCATATTTATCACAACGTTTCGGCCCTTCAGTATCTGTCTATATTTCTGAGATGAGGTATTATCTACACTATTTACATTATTCGGACTATTGTCCTCATCTTTGTCACCATATTTATCACAACGTTTAGGCCCTTCAGTATCTGTCTATATTTCTGAGATGAGGTATTATGTACACTATTTACATTATTCGGACTATTGTCCTCATCTTTGTCGCCATATTTCTTACAACGTTTCGGCCCTTCAGTATCTGTCTATATTTCTGAGATGAGGTATTATGTACACTATTTACATTATTCGGATTATTGCCCTCATCTTTGTCGCCATATTTATCACAACGTTTCGGCCCTTCAGTATCTGTCTATATTTCTGAGATGAGGTATTATCTACACTATTTACATTATTCGGACTATTGTCCTCATCTTTGTCACCATATTTATCACAACGTTTAGGCCCTTCAGTATCTGTCTATATTTCTGAGATGAGGTATTATGTACACTATTTACATTATTCGGACTATTGTCCTCATCTTTGTTGCCGTATTTATTACAACGTTTCGGCCCTTCAGTATCTGTGTATATTTCTGAGATGAGGTATTATGTACACTATTTAAATTATTTGCATTAGTGTTCTCATCTTTGCAATATTTATTACAACGTTTCGGAACATGGCCCAGTGGATAAAGGCGTTGGTTAGATCCAGTGACAGGACCCAAAAGAGTGTGAGTTCAATACCCGGTTAAGGCAGTGGAGAACTTTCAGAGGGGAATTAACAGGAGATAACTGATAACTGACATCCACTAGACATGGCACGTGGAACTAGAACAGTCTACCCAAGAGAGCGAAATAAAGGGTTCAGTTCGACATTCCAACCACCTGAAGAAGGCCGGAACGTACAACGGCGGAAACGTTGTACAGTGTAACCCGGATATAAGAGAGTTGTCGGGACCGGAGAAGAAGTCTCTTATATCCGGGTTTTTCTTATATCCGGATTTGGTCTATTTTGTTTAGGTAAGTATGGCTCTAATTTGTGACCAGAGAAAATCTCTCTTATATCCGGGTCTCTTATATCCGGGTTACACTGTAATAAATATAACGACAAAGATGAGGACAATAATGTAAATAGTGTAGATTAATTTAACTTTTAACTTTCTAATTTTACTCAAATAACGTGTCACTAATACATATTTTATTTTTGGAAGATTTTTAAAACCGATAAATTTGTTTTGTTTCGAAATTTCTTAAAATTAAGAAAATGGCTGCTTTTAAGAAAACATTGAGATTCCGATCTATATAATTTCTATTTGAAATACACCAGAATATTTTTCTTTCCTGCAAATAGTAAATTTAATCATTTAGCTTTCTAAATTTTTTTAAAATTCATTTTAAATGTTAGGTATTGAAAATTTATGGCGAATTAGTGAAAGTACATAATTTAACATCAGGAAGGAACTGCTGAAATTTCTCAGCACATAATGAAGAAAAAGGGCTTGGAAAATTGAATACTCACGGGTCAAGCTGAAGGCAAGATGGACAGAGGAAAGCAACGCAATCTACCTGGAGAGCTTCTGTAAATGGATGACGAAGCAGGATTTGGGAGAGATGGAAAAAAGACAATATTTATTAAAAGCTTCAAAAGACAGGAAATTGTGAAAAGCCATGATCACCAACGTCTTGAAGGTAGACGGCACATAGAAAAATTATTCTGTAGCCTGTCAAAAAATTCTTATTCGTATTTTAATTTGAGAGGTTCACTCTATAAGACTTGATTTAGTCGATTGACATATGCCAAAAATGCGATTAATGTTGGATAAAAAAAAAAGGTTTTCCATTATTAGATTTTTGTAGACGAGGTTGGAGTAAAAGTGCCAATATATATATATATATATATATATATATATATATATATATATATATATATATATATATATATATATAAAGACATTTTTATGTTTATACATTCTTTTATAGATACAAATATTTAAGCAAATGTTTTGTTTTATAATAAACAGTATTAATAAAATTTACCGGCTTGAATGTCCGAGAAATTTTCATAGAAAGTACTCGTCCTCCGACAGGAATCGAACCTGTATCCTATACGGAAATGTCATATAGCCTGATGTGGCACCATGCATGATTGGAAAACTGAAAAGAGATATTCATAAATATATGATTTATTTTTTTTCGGTTTATTAACCATTTGAGAGTTATTTAGAGATGAAAAATATTTCGGAGTTGAGAATAATTCTCTAATTGCGTTTCGGGAGATCTGGGAGAAAGAAAAGAAAAAGGAAAAGGAGAAAAAAAAAAAAAAAATATAATACAAAAAAACCAGGTCATGAGCGAAACACACGCTCGACTGGCACATATCAGATGTCAAAAATATTAGGTCAAGCCATGACCTACTTCGGTGTCCACGGAAAATGGAAGTTGTTATCAATTTGGTTGAAGAAATAAAATTTTAGGGACAATGAAAAAAAAATATTGATAAGTAACAAATGAAAAGGATGTCATCGAGATGATAGGTAACAGATGGGGAAGTGTATCTAAGGATATGAAAACAAAGCATTAATACAAGAACCCAGACAATTTCTAGAGTTGAAAAAAAAACCACCCAAGGTGATGTCGTTTTTTTGAGATAATTAAGATTTTTGTTAACAAGCTCCGAGCGAAAGAAAAAGGTGAAATATTTGTATTAGCTCGCGAGAACGCCACGCAGTCTAAGAAATTCCTTTCTTAGATCGTATCCAATTAGCGGTAGGCTGTTTGACAGATACCACGTGTAAAAAGAAACCGATAGCGTCATTCGATCACGTACGAAAAGGACAATTTAAATTTTGTTTTTTAAGCAAGGTGTTTCTTCCCCAGAACAAAGCCACGGATTGTCCACGCCCGATTAGAGACGTCACGAAGGAAGGAGGAAAGATAACCAGAGTCTCATTGGCCGAGGGCGGTCACATGATACATGAGGGAGGAGGAGGAGACCAGGACCTCATTGGCCGAGAGCGGTCACGTGATGTGCGAGGGAGGAGGAAAGTCCCGACCAGGACCCCA